AAGGTGGGATAAAGCACAGATGTTATTCACCACTTGAAAAATCACCACTTCTAAATACGTATGTGCCAAGTGTGCCATTTTTGTTTGACCCAAACTGAGTAAAAAATATTGGTTCTAACAGGCCTTTTTTCTGACCCGGGAGGGTCCATTAGGATCTTAACTTCTTTGATTTCTTTGCAGATGCTTAACTGTAGTATGTATATTTCTTTGCACTACTGGGGGACCTGAAGGTGGTAATTCATCCAAGATACTATTGCCTTCACTGAACATATGCTAGTGTGATATCTTTGGGACAACAATGGCTTCAGAAACTGTTTCCATAGTGCTAGGATCTAGGCCCACTACACTGCCGGTTTAAATTTTGTCAATTTTTCTGTCAATCTTCATGAAAAGAAGGGCCAAAACAATGAAGGTAGTTGTCGAACCCTGATAATTTGAAGTACTATGTCAGTAATGAATAGCTTTTTGTTGCTATTTTTAACTAATTCTATCTATATACTGTACTGCCTTTCTCGCAATCCAGGGGTCCAAACTGGTTTGCAAAATGATTTTGGAAAGATAAGTTAATTATTACAATGCATGTTAAACATATACTAAAAATATTAAAAGACCACCTCAAAAATACAAAACATTTTAGAACACATAAAAAGAACTTTAAAAAGGTAACACCTCCCATTAAAAGTTCCTTTCTGTATAGCCCATTCAGTTGTCAAAAGCTTGCCTGAAGGAAAAGGGAGCAACCATTAAAGAGGTCCTCTTTTATGTCCTCACCAGACATGCCAGTGGAAGCAAAGGAGCTGAGATGATTGGCTTCCACCACTGAGAAGGCTTACACAGGGAGGTGTAATGCTCCAAAATACCATTTGCATCCTTTAAAAAACTGACAGAGCTTGGCAACTGATTGTCAACATTAAACTAATAAGGGAAGCATTACTTCATAAAAATATGTTTGCTTCATTTTGATAAATTGTTATTTTAGACATCAAGCATCAACACTGTTAATTCTTGGGTAGCAATTAAGAAAGGGAATAAATTTGGGGCCGTGGCTCCTTCGAACTATATTCAGTAATTGTAACTGATTTTTAAATGTTAAAAAGTAACATATTAATAATGCATCAATAACAAAGGGAATGACTTACATCTATAGAGGGATTTCAACCCTTTGACATTAACAAATTACAATTCTTAAAGAGTTAACATATTACTGCTAATGTTTCCAAACTGTTAAGTGGCATGCAGATAGATCCTGACAATATTTTGTATTAGGAGAAAAGAGAGAAAGAATAGTGGTTTAGGACTCTGCTGTGGAGCCAAAGGTTGGGAGTTCAATTCCCCACTATGCCTCCTGCAAGTAGAACCAACCTGTGTTATCTTGGGAAAGCTGTACAGTTCCAGGGTGGCCCCAGAAGAAGGAATGATAAACCACTTCTTATTCTTAACCTGGAAAATGCTGAAAAGGGGCGTCATAAATAAATATTGACTCTACGGCACATGATTATTATAACAGAGTCAGAAACTATCACAGTGCAGAAAATGCAGGCTCTGAAGCTTCAAAAACAAAAATACTGCCCAGAATTCTATTATGCTCTTTTAGCAGAGCAATTTGTATTTATTGCCACACACCCAGTCATGCAACTGTTGTGTGGTAAGAAAAACAAGCACTGATTTGTTAATTGGTGGCAAGTAGCTGCTGAAATTTACCCTACTGGAGTTAGGCTGATGGGCATAAATAACAGGTTTCCACAGAAGTCACAGGAGTCACACAAAACCGAGCTTAGCTGAGTTCTGCTCATATTAAAGGAAGGCAGCAAGGCAACAGAGGTCTCCTTCCCCATTCTGAAGGGCTGGGTGGATGCACCACAAGAGGTAAGGCAGAGGAAGGGAGAGGCAGCAAAAATAATCTACTGGCTCTGTTCTTCCAGCAAAAGGTATGCATTGGATCTTGGTAAATTCCATGGATGAGCAGAGCCATTTATTTTACAGATGATTTAATCTAGATTCTCACCAACAGCTACAATGTTATATAATATCTTTAGTATAATTATAATTGTGTGCCTTCGATTCCAACTTCTGACAACCCTTTTCAGGATTTCCTAGGTACAGAGTATTAAGAAGTAGTTCACTATGCACTTCTGCTGGGGATGCTCAGGGACTGTACAGCTTGCCCCAAACTACTTGCAAGCTGGCTCTTCTCATTGCTTGTTTAATCCAGATAATAATTGTACATTTAAATATGCGTCCTTTCAAGAAAGGAAGCAAACGAAATAGATTTAAAGCATTCAACCTGCTTATGACTTTTGAGATACAATTTTAACAGTAAATTGTAAAGTAATTGTTTAGTTCAGACAGTACTTGAAAATTCAACACGGTTATTTTGCTTTGCATGATGGTTGCTTTAGAACAGATACTCTGAACTATTTTGTTTCATATTCAGACAGGAGAATCTACTATGCCTTCTAATGAGCTTCCAAATTCTTTTTTAAGGCACATACTATAGATGTATGTTGTAGCATACAATCCTAGCAGTACACAAAAAAGAACTGTATTTATTACTCTGTTTCAATAAGGCATGCACCTAAATTTCAAATATGTGGGTTTGAACACTGCATGATCACACTTAGCTGAAATTCGTTATCAAAATGGGCACCACCTCAAAAAGTCATATAAAGCTTAAATGGGTAACTTTTTGTTCAGTTAGTTTCTAAATTGTGCCCTTGTTTTGCTTACAATTCTTGATCACCCCATGGTTTTATAAGATGTATTATCTATGGAAAGACTAAACTGCTGTTTTCTGGACATTGTTTTTTCAGCTCCTCCTTCTATCTACTTATGGGTGACCAGCCACGGTGGATTAAACTGGAAGCTTCATCTCCATGCAGCGGAAGGATTTCTGACTGCCAGGTGGTATGTACAAATTACAAAGGAAGACGCCCTACCTGTGGCCTAAAGGTATCTGACACTGTAGCCTTGCTGCTGCTAAAAAGATTTGGGTCTGATCACACTGTATGAATGAGAGAGTACTTGGGAATTTAATGCACAAAATCTTTGAGGCCCCACTGAAGAAAGGCAGAGTTACAGTTAATACACTCAGTATGAATTTACCAGCATAGTTTCAAATGGATCTTCAGTCTGATCTCCCACAGCTATTTTGTCCATGTGAATTTTTTTATTCATAGGGCCCAAATCAACAGGTTGAATGAACATCTTTCTGAATTGTTCATTATGCCTGAATATGCTGTATGCGAATAATGCACAAAATAATATGAATATATTCATAGTTTCAAATATCCTTGTGAAACAGAACATTCTATTCTCCATGGTTTTTGATTTTGTATGGGCTATTTCAGGTCCTTTTGACTCAACATTAGTATTGGTTACAAGGTGTATTTCTGATGTTAGGCTGAATTCATGTGCTCATTAGATGTTCCTTTATGAATGGATTAGATAAATTACAGTGCAAGGAATTTTAAACAGCAAAATTCAATTTGTTAGATTCTCCATCATACTTCTGAATGACTTGTGAATGTGGCAAATGAATGGGAAGACAGGCAGCTGCGGCTCTGTTGTTTACACATTTTATGTGAACAGGGCCTTGCTCCTGACTGCTCACTTTCATGCATCTGTCCTCCTGTGCAACCCTATGCAATCACACACGTTATGAAAAACACATTAGAGTGCACAACCAGTCTTCCAACATTCTGGAAACAAATATTCTAAGTCAAGGATATTACCTGAGCAAAGAGAGCTCTAAATATTCTTCTCATCTGACACAGTTGGCTTTTCCAGCCTACTAGATGATCAACAAAGCACTCCTAAAACTTTGAGTTTGGCATCTGTCCCAAAGTTGACCTGTCTAGAAATGCGCTTCGCATGGAAAAAATGAAAATAGCACAATGTCAGTGGCAAAAGTCTGGGGTGGCCAACTTTTGTGCTGCTGTGGAATACATCTAACTTTGAGTCAGGAATTGCATGCACCGGAAGACAGGACCAGGGATAGCTGCGGGCATGCTCAGAGCAGGACTCCATAGCCTTTCTGTGATAGACTCAGACACAAGAGACTCACAGACCTCTCTCCCAAAATCCAACATGAGAGGATGAGATTTATACATCCCACCAGCCTGCACCTTCACTAACACTCCTCAGATGACTTGGAACCTTCCTCATTGCCACGAGGGTGTCTGGGAAATAATCATTCCCACACTTCTCCCCATCATAATTTCACTCCCTTCAACTTTCCAAACCACTGAGAGTGTTTGGACATTCAGCAGCAGGCCACAGTCCCTATGCATGCTCGCCACTTATGAGTTGGGTGCATATGGAGATTGTTGAGGAATGCAGAGCTTGGAAAAGTCACTTTTTTGGACGACAACTTCCACGATAGCTAAGGGATCCCAGCAGTTGCAGTCCCAAAAAAATTACCTTTCCAAGTCCTGGAGGACTAAGATTGTGAATAAAAGAATATTCCAAGCTCTCTCTCTCAAAAAAGGGTGGTTCTTAAAGAATTAAGATAGCAGGTAAAATAATTTTCTTCCAATAAAATGATTCTTCTTTTAAATTTCTCTGCATACAAGTAAAAATTCTGGCTCCAGGCTAGTCTACTAATAAGATCCTAAAAATAATCCATACTCTGAGCTCACAATCTGTTATTTTTAAACAGCTTCTGGGACTGAACTTTCAATCTTATTTTCAGAACAGCAGACTAAACATGCCTTCCCTTGGTGTCTACTGGAGAAAACTCTAATACAAGGCTTAACATTAAAGCAAACAACCTTCTGAATAAAAGCTGGCAAGTTCTAAGATGTGCACATGTGGAATTAAATTCCTCTCAATCTGAATGGAATTTACTCCCAAGTAAGTATGCTTAAAATTGTAGCCTAACCACAAGTTTAAGTGTGTTTACTCAAAACTAAATCTTTCCAAGTTCAAGGGAACATTCTCTAATGAGTGTTTAGGACTGCAGCTTAAGAAAGCTTGAGCAAAAATATTATAACATCAGACACTGATGGAAAATATGTTTTATTCAAAATGTTTGGTAACAAACAATTATTTTTCAGAGTTTGGGGAAGCTGTACTTTAAAATTTTAAGTACAAGACAGGAAACAAACCATAAACCAAGCTAGGTTAAAATTTCACTAAGGTTAATTGTCAACTCCATGGAATTTATTGCAAGTTTTAGTAAAATAAATACTTTACAAAAGACGTATGCCTTCATTGGAGATAAAAGTGGTTATGCGCACAAATTGTGTATGTTTCAGTAAATGCTCATAAATATGAAAGAATGATTAAAAAAGCCAATTATGCATATATCCTATCCCTGTCTTTCATTTCTTGAATGTGATTTGTTACCTGATCCTATAAACAGTGAATAAACTATAAATTATCTATGGGCGGAGTAGAACTTCAGAGATGAATAATTTTCAGTTCTACTTTTAGCTTAATTTTATTTCACTTCATACTGCACTGAATAAAATGTTAAATGGAGAAATGTAGTTTAATTCATTTTTATCTTTTTGGCTGACAAATGCCATCATGAGACCAAATGGCCTGATTTAGACATATATATGCTGGCTTTTATAAGATGAGATAGACACAAATCTTGTGCCAATGAAGTCCACCTTATGGTACCCCTTCTCAGCTTTGCAGGCTGCAGTTAACGTGAGAAATCTGGGTCAACCACAGACAGTCATAGCTTCCTGTTACATCCAAACCCATTAGATACAGAACAAGCTAGGTTCTGTAAACATGATTCCTAGAATGGAAAAGAAAAAGGTTGTGAGGTCTTGTACAAAATCCAAAACAAAGCTGAGTAATACCTTTACTGGACTACTAAAATATTTAAAACAGGTGAGTGTTCCAGCAGGAGATTTTATCAGGCTGAGCGCTACAGAGTTGTGGGTGGGGAGAAGCAGTAAATTCTAAATACTATCCTGAACAGTTGTTGCCATTGCAAGATCTATGTTAAAGAAATGCCTCAAGATGGAGGTATCACATTTATCCCATCAGCTTGAGGTATCAGGCTTCACTTTAGGCCATGTAGGCAAAGATCTTACAGTGTTGCTTTGTGCTGATGCATATAGCTCCACTTTGGGCTGGGAGTAGAGGCATAAAGAGACATGGCAATCCCTGTACCAGGTGGTTTAAGTTATTGGCTTGTTCCAGACCTGGGAATCATAGCTCAAATATAATGGAAAACTACTGTTAATTGAAGACTTCCTGGGTTAATCTTGGCAAGAATGAAGGTATGGGCAACATGAGGACAGAGTGCACAGTCCCAAGGCTTGTGCATATCTCAGCTTATTCAGCTGTAACTTATATATCTGAACTATGCCAGTATCTGAATAGAGACATTTCCAGATGTTCGAGGTTTTAGCCTGACAGCTGACTTTCATATTGTCTTTCTAGCTAGCTCTGTGTAACAATAATCAAAGCAACACCAAAAGAGGAAGTCAAAGAATGTCTGATTGGTCAAAGATAATTATGCTTAAGGCACACCATGAAAAGACAAGGTTGAAGTACAGATTTTGAAAAGTTGTAGCTTCAAAATTTACGTTTTTTGTTAAAGGAAACTTAAGACCTTGGTTCTGCTTTGAAAAACTGTGGGCCCTTCTAAACTGCCTATAATACAGTAAGAATGTTTTTTTCATTCTATGTTGTAGCTTATCTCAAAGTATAGCAATCGGAAGGTTTCATAGGTCACCTCATAAGTACCTATAATTACCAATATATCCATCTGTTAATTAGCAAAACATTTCAGATGTCAGATGTACAATAAAATGAACTATTAGTTTCACAGTACATCACAATAACTTTGATGTGATGAAAGATAGTGGAACGACCAGGAGCAAAACAGTACAGCTTTGACAAGTTTTGCAAGGACATTTTTTCCCATCACTTTTATACACAGTTTAGGATTTGAAAGAGTTTTTACTGAAAGTTATAAAAGATCAGGAAAAAATGGTTTAACATCACCATTCTGAAACATGTGCATACACATGTATACATAAAGATAACACGTGATAAAGATCCTGCCCAGCTGAAAAATAAGGGAACAGTCCCATTACAGCAATCATTGTCTGTTTTAAGGCTTTTTACACTGTGTTGTGTGGCTTTACAGTTTGCAGTGCGTGGTGTCAATGTTTTACAATGATGGCAGTAGACTTTAAAAAGAGATGGAATGTCTGGTAAAATCCAGGACCTTCAGAGAATAATATATTCTTAAGGGTTGTTATGAAGATCCTTATTATGCCTGTGTACATGTAAATATATTAAGACATTTTAGATGTTATAAGAACACCCCACACATATTGTTTGGCAGTGAGAGGAAAAATAAGGACCCTATAAAAGGATACTTTCAGTTATTGGAAACAAGCACAGATTAAGGGCTGAAAAGCCCTTGCAAGCATATGATGGCAAATCCACTGAGACTGTCAATTTCCAAAAAAACCATCCAAACCTACAAATAAGCAAGCAAATGAAAAGAAAGCCCTAAACAATAGTGTTGGAATAACTATTCCAGTAGCCAGCCTATTTAGCATGGGAATAACAGGCTGTCTAAAGGTTATAGGTATTACCTTTGCTCCTTCCTGTCACATGTACCCTGCTATAATTAAGGCTAGCTTGCTAATATATGTATAATGTATTAGTATCTTAATACATTATTTCTCAGAAGATTAAGCCTATTTCTCTTGTAGTCATATTTCCCTATAAAAATACGACTGAAAGGTATGCCACTATGGACATTAAAAGAGAATTGTAATGCTCAGAGTTTTTTGGGGGAACATTATTAAGCTTGGCTTAATGATCATTCACAATGCAGTTAGGTGACAGTGTTTTCCTTGTAAAAGTAGCAAAATGCAAATGCATTTTAAATACAGAGGCATGATGTATTTTTTAAAATGCCCTTGGCATTTAAGGGAATATTTTTCTAAATGGCAAACTACAGCAGAGGATACCAGTACATGCTTGTACTGTAGATCAGAAGAGTAATTATCTCTGGCTTTTCAATTGGTGTTTCTTGGTGTTTATAAACAACAAAAAATGTTTAGAAATTCCAATATGAGGATAAAAGAAAATGGGTAGGATAACTGAAAAAATAAGCAAAAACAATTCAAGCTGGCTTATTGATGCAAGCAAGGAGCCAAGAGGAATACTTAAATAGGTGAATACAGATGAAGGGTCGGGAACCTGCAGCCTTCCAGATGTTATCAACCCACATGTCAGTCAGGGATAACAGGAGTAGGGAGAATCCCACATCATCTGGAGGGTCTAAGGATCTCTATTATAGATGGAAAACAGTGGTGAACAGAAATATGAACTGAAGGGTAGTGAACTGCATTTCTCCTGCATATAAAGTAGGGTAGGAAGAGAAAGAAATATAGGCACTTGTCTCCTCATCTACTCAGCAGAAGGGAAAGGCTGAGCTAAAAACCCAAGGGGAAACATGACATACGAAAATCACCTGGCCATAAATGAACATGGTTTAAGGTTCATTTCAGTTTATTCATTTCAAAGACAGAAGCTCAAGCTAATGTCTTTTTCTATATGAGTATTTCTCCAGGGTAGCCAGCAAACCACAAGCCCAGAGCAGTGCATAAAACCACACTTCAGTTCTTGCTCCTAAAATAAATCCCATTAGACTTAATTGGGTGCATACAAGCCCACTAGAGTGAACACTCTTTACCTGAGTCAGGTTTCAATATAGTAGTAACTTCTGTTTAGAGTGTGACTTCTCTTTAGAGTGTGACATACACATTTTGCTTACTCCACCCTAACTTCCACTATTAGTATATGCATGCATCATTTATACTTAAGAAGCAAAAGCATAAAAATAAATAAGATCACCTAAGCATATACAATAAATATGCCTTTAAATGTGCGTGAAATTTAAGGCCCAGCTTTATTGAGCAATTAGGAAATAGCTTTAGGTCTTATCAAGGACCAGTTACTACTTCTTATTGTACAAGACACAGCATTGCTGAAACACAGCTGACAAGGGATCTGGAAGTGGAATGTGAAACGTCTCATTATTGAAACATGAAAAATAGGACAGTTTTTCACTTCGGTTGTAGAACATAAATTTGCTATCTTCTAGTATTTTAGCTTTAGCTGTTGTGATATTCAGAGTTGCTACTTTTCAAGACTTGTAGTTATGTACAGTTTTTACCAGAGTCCATAATGACTTGCAGCAGCATGTGAGGAAGTAATATCAGAAGTTCTGTTGCCTTCGTTTTTTTGCATCCATTGCATCAAGAATAGGTTGCCTCTTTGCGGTATATCTTTGACGAAGCTCTTCAATTTCTCTTTCCATCATAGGATCCAATGCTTTTAACCTCATCTGCAGCTCTTCCAAACTCAGATTTTTTAGCTGTTTAGACAAGAAGAAGAAGCAGCAATGGAATTTAACAGAAACAAGAAATTGTCTACTTAACATTTATTATGAATAAAACGTAACATAGCAAGACACACAACAACCAAGGAAAATTTAAAAGACTATCTTCTTACTTAATCTATCACATACTCACCACATCATGACCCTTTTATAGCATCTGCTATAAAATATATATCATGTATACATACACATAAACATATGAATGAACATACAAACAAAATGTGCAAACAAAACCTATCATGCTGCATCTTAGATTTCTTTACTCCACCAGTTTGGATTTATATGCCACTTTCTTGTATTTGGAGATTCAACCATTCCTATCTGTTCCAATATGGGTTATATACTTGTATTTATATACTTGTATTAAAGAGAACAACAGAGGTACTGAAATCCAGAGATGTAGACAGTAGGCTAAATTCTTGAATGACTCAACATGCTCCATTTTTTCTACCTTGGAAAGAGTAATTAACTAGGTAAAATTGGTATACTCTTGCTGGTGATCATGAACTCATAAAGGATGTAATATACTATTGAATCTGAAAGTGGTAGTTAGAAGTGCATTGCTAAAAAAGCCCTTCCTGAATCTACTTAGTTGAGGAATTACAGGTGGCATTATTCTAAACCAACTTTTTGGAGAGTCATTCTTAGCTACAGAACTTGATACAGTCATAAAAAATAGTACTGTGAATCCAGTGGAATAGCCACACCAGAAGTAATCTAAGTGCCAGCTCAGTATATCTGTATGGTGTGTGTTTGCAAATGTTGATTTAAAACAGTATTGGCCAGATTGGTGCTGAACTACAACTCTCATCATCTTCAGCTATCATGGTCACACCAAGATGAGAGTAGCTGATTCCAAATTTCCAAAGAACTAGGGAGAAAACAGCTAAACAACTTCACTAAAAGAACTGCATGTGTTCAAAGCAAGGAGACGAGTGATCCCTAATTTATTTTTTATTACCACTCTTTGAAGCACCTAGTCAACCCACTACTACACAAAATCTATTTTGAGTACACTAACCAGTCTCAAAGAGTCCTTAAAAAAAGAAACAGAATACAAACCCTTCACTGGGTCACTGCCTTGCCTATTCAAAGGTGAGTTGCTTTGAAATAACAAAGACCATTTGAAAAAATGGCCTCAGTTCAGGGCAGCTCATTAGCATTTTTCCAAAAGGGGCACTTGATTAATTGCTCACAAGCTATCTAAACATTCACATTACTGAGGGACATTTACCAAAAAGTAGCTCTTTTGCATACCAGCTAGCTGCAATGAACATATGAAACTGGATTCTTGCAGGCAAGTAAGGGTGCTGCAGGCGGTTGGTCCTCCACCTGCACTTGCAGGAAATAATCCAGTTTCAAAATGGAAAACAAAACACTGAAGTTCATATTTATTACATTGTCCTGAGGCAGTAAGCCTTCACAGTCCTGTCAGAACTATTATTGTGTGTATATATGCCAATCAGGTTTTACTATGGTAAAAAATCTGCCTATTTTAGGTAAAAACAGAAGAAAAAACATGAGAAAAACACACAGCATTTTCGTTTTCTAGGAAATCCCCTATTTCTTAATACTTTGTAACAAACTGCTAAAAGAGAGCAAAATGAATGAAAACATGGTATCTGAATCAAGCTACTACTGAGTCAATATTGACTTCATAAATCTAGGGTATTTTTCTATCCACAAGGTCTATCTCCCTTGTGGGGATATAAATACTACTCTCAAATTTTATTTTTGTTGTCATCTAGCGCATACAAATTAACAAGAGGAATGAGTGCTATGTATGCAACGCAAGAGTGTGTCTCTTAAAAGCAATAAGCTAACTTTAGAAAAACAGTATTAGCATTTTACTTTTTAAAAAGAACATTCTAAAAAAAGAAATAAGATAAGTAAATTTTTGAAAAAGCAGAATTAGATAGTGCCCACTAAAGATATCCAGCCTGTTTTTGATTCTCAGCTCTGGTTCTCTAAAAGATCCTGGAGATTGCCATATGAAAAGCCAGAACAAATAGAATGGAAAATAAGGAGAGAAGTTTTTAACAACTCTTTGTCTTGTTTTTTTTAATTTAGTATATGACACAAGCATGGTAATAAAAAGAATGGGAAAGACTAGTGCTAACACAGTAGGTCAGAATCCCAGAACAGAGAAAGTAGATACGGCTACTGGCATATTTATTTAAAATATTTATATCCCATCTCTTCAAAGCTTGAGTGCTTTCATGACAAAGAATAAAACAATACATCATGGAATGATATACACACACAGTAGAATACGAATGCCGATATTTCCAACGAAACAAGAACCACAGAGGTAATGATAACAGTAGTAGTTCAAATCAATTGCAAGGAGAGTTATGTGCTAACTGTTGGTTTTGCATCAGCCAGAACCCCACAGAGCATACTTCAAGTCCTGATACAGTCAAGAAGCCACTGTTGCCTTAGAAGATTTAGTGTATAAATGGTTAATACAGAAACAAAATTATACAACACAGTCCTCCCTCTCAGAGCAAAGGGGTTACTACACTCAGGGCTACCCAAAGAATTTTTATACCCTGTCCACCTTACTTTCAAACTGGCAGGGAGGAATGGAAGACATTTGCTTTTGCTGACCAAGTCAGCATGTTATCATCCTGATCAGGAAAGCTACTCTTAGAACAATAGGTCTGTAAGTACATCTTACAGTTTCTTTCTATGCTCATGTCTCTCACCAATTTTGTGATATTACAGTCATTAAATTCAGCAAACTTCTGATCCAATACAAGGTAATGGGGTCTTGAGATGAGAGGGCTTAAAAAGGCTAAGCTCCAGCATTGTGAATCATTTGCTTTGAAACAGATGGCTAGCTTGCATAACTGGTGCAATATGGGCTGTCTCTACCTATGTTAAATGTAAAGAAAAATGTTCACTAGATATGTCTGAGAAATTGGAAGAAGTTCTAAAAAACAAAATTGAGAGTACTAGTTCAAAGTAGTTTAATGTTTTATTATTATAATTATAAATTGCTTTCTTCAAAGTACACAGAAATAGCACAACCCATATAACTGTATAGAAGCAACTACTAAAATGCTATATATAACTTAGCAACTACTACAAAATGTGACAGGATGGCATCCTTCGCAGAGCACTTCTCAAAGTCTAAGTCTGAGCATCTTCAGTGTGAAACTGCTATCAAAATCACATTTTTCAAGGCTACAAATCTGTGTGTTTACCATATTTTCAAGCAGATTTCAATTTTTGCATTTTAGAATGGCAGTTACTTTCTTCAGGCCTAGGAAACAGATTAAGAAAAATGTAACAACTTTTAAAAAAATAATTTTAATTCTATGGAAGTGCATCTATTTGTTCCCTTAAAACTAGCAGCCCAAAGTGGAGACCAAAAGATATGTATTGTTTGCCTCAGTAGAATGGTTCTTGCGATTAAGTCTTCCCACATTCACATGTATGAACACCTTAAACACTGTTATTCCAATAGGCAATCTCAGAAAATGCAGCCATCCAGGAATAAATATGATTTATAAGCAAACTACACTAACAAAAAAAAATCTCTATGAAAGCCTTTCAAAAAGAAAATATACAAGCATGCGCTGAACCATTTAAGCCCATTATAGATTCCCTTCCACATTCCTTTTGCTATTAATTAAGTAAAAGCTAAGAATACAAATCTATAAACCACACAATTCAGCCTCAGAAGGACAGGGTAAAGCTATTGATTTGATTATTTCCGTCATTATTACTTAGGAAGGATTAAGCAGATAGCCTGTTTCCTGTTGAAGAAAACGCTCTGACATGGAATACTCCATTGCTTTATCAGATAAAAACGATTTCCCTGTGAAGCTACTCTGTAGTCCAAAAATACCCTTTGTCTACAAAATTGAAAACACATATCATACTTTAATTATGTTGTCACACCAGAAAACAATTCTGGAATGCAAAAGAGTCTTGTTTTTGTTAGATATCAGTTGAAACAATGAAACTGCTGTTGAGAATCTCCTGGGGCAACCTCTCCTGCAATGGAGTAAGCAAGCACGGGAGCATTCCTATATGAAAGCTGTAGACAAACAGAAAAGGCCTTTAAATGATACTTTGATGGGTTTTTTAAACTAACTGTAGCAATTCATGTACCCTTCCTAAACTAGATAACAGCACGCCATATCATCCTACCAAACTCTGCCTTTTGATTTTTTTTTTCCAGGACTATAGATCCACAATTTGACAATCAACTAACTAGCTTTTATTGATAACAAAACAACAATCAATTTGGGATGTAAAATATTTACTTTTTAAAAAAGGAGGAAAGTTCCTCAAATAACTTGAATATTATAAAAACATCAGATTTCGAAACCACAAATATTTGGAAACAGATACCTTGGAGTATAAAAGTAACTACAAAGGAATGTGTACGTAAAAAATAATCAAGGTATTTCCCCCCAATTGTGGCTATAGTATCTTTCTTTCTTTCTTATTT